TCTGTTTATTGTGAGTTACTGTTGTAATTCAGACATAACTCTATGGATTGGAGGTTAAGTATAGCCAGAGTTAGTTTGTTACAAGGTTAAATTGGATCAGAGTTTAGCCTAGATTAGTTTAAATGTTTGCTTTAGAAAGTGACTTTCCATAAAATACAGATATCCATGCACAATGAGTGGATTTGAATTACAAGGCTGCTTGCCTTTATTGGTACATGGCAGTGAAAGGGGTGGAAAAATGCCTTTGTTATTTTCTGTTTCACACTGCAGCATCCCCTCCTTTCCTTTATGTTAGGACTGCCCAGAAGGAGTTTATAACAATTTGCCCTTGGGAACCAACTGGGGTGTTATGAGGGGCTGCTATAAAGCAATTCATTTAGAACTAGAGTCCAGAAAGAGTTTAAGTGGCAGCATGTAAATGAGCCCTTGTATTGGGGGGGGACGAACGACACAGTCTGACCCAGTTGATTTTGATGATATCAGGCGCAGAGTGCCAGCCTAACATCTTGAACAGTGTGAAACTGCTTGGGAAACTGCTACCAGTAGCCTCACTTCTGGCTGTTAAACACTGCTTTGAAAATCCAACAAAGGAGTTGTTTATCTGGTGCTGGTACTTTGCAGCAGTAGTGATGGTGAAGGCTGATGGGTCGCATGGGAAAGCTGTTGTGCAGCCTACCCACGCTTTCTCTCCTGTTACTCAGCTGTGCAGGTAGTTTGCTCCTCTTCCTGCGTTACGCTCAGCACCCTGACTTCCTTGGACACTTCTACTGGGGTCACGTTTTGTCCCCAAATTATTTGTTTGTGCGATGAGGGTACAGTAGTGTGTTGACAGCTGCCTGGTCCAAGTTTGGAGCTAGGGCCAGGTAGCGTGCCATGGTTGGGAAGGCTGGATGCGGAGCCGATACCCCCAGGTTAGGCTTCGTGTTTGGTCGCGCCGGCTGACGCAGACCAGCACAAATCGGGGGTGTGGACAGTTTGCTCAGCTCTCCCCCCAGGCACGTAGGTGCGTTTTTTACAGTGATGCCTGGCAGGCTAAACAGAAGCTATTCCCTTCTGCCTGGATTAACCTGGGCTCGTCGGTAGCACGTAGCTTCAGAAATACGGAGCGTTTGGGGCAAAGCAGTGTGTTTCAGGCTCCCTCCGTTTGTGTTTTCTCAGGCAGAGGCTTCTGCCAAGCACTGCTGCGAATTTGACCTTTTTGCAGCAAGCTGTTAATCAGTCTTGTGCACTTCCCCTGCTATTGTACTTCATATTCAGGGTCTTGACCCTGAATATTAAGAACATTTGCTGAGTTTTCTAATTAAACTGGTAAGTCTGTTAGAAGCTGTTCACCTGTAGGCACCCTGCAGATACAATAAAGTGAACCAGTCAAGTACAAATTGCCTTCTTCTGAAGGCCTGCTAATGAAAGGTTAGTCAGTGCCTTCTGCTGTTTAAAGTCAAAAGCTTAATGTTTTCTTAAGATAGCGTTTGGGTGAAAGCCCAAATAAATAGGTAAAACTACTGAGAAAATTATAAGCTCGGACTTATAATTATAAGCTCGGTATTTTAAGCAGTCTGGGACTTAGCCTCCATTTAAGTCTGAAATATACTGTTCCCCAATACGTTTTTGAGGAATGATTTAGGAAAACAAGGAAAACTGACACTTGCCCTTGGAAATGTCTTTGCAGCAAACCTGTGCCATAGGTTAGTGGTGTTCCTGTAATTTAAAAAAAAAAAAAAAACACACAGTATTCTGAAACTCTGAATGCTGTATGTGGATAGTATTCAGATATTCACACTAAAACTTACTTATGCTGTAGTTTTTGTCGCTGTATTTGTTTCCAATTGCGTAGTTCTGCAAGACAGCTAAGAAAACGGCCTGAAGCCTTAAATAAAGCACTGCTCTTTTTTTGGAGCTTCAGTTCCAGAAATGTGCAGGATGACCCAAGCTCCAGACACGCTTTTTAGGTTTAGTGAGTAGAGTGACAGCTCAAGTAGGACAAGTCGTTTCTGTTTGCTAAACAAACAGTATCTGAAAGGGAATACTTGTGGCAACAAAAGCAAAGAC